GCAAACACATACACACATACCACGTAGTCAATACCAATCCAAGACAACCCATACACACAAACCACGTAGTCATTACCAGTCACCCACATACACATATATCACGTAGCCATTACCAGTCAACCACATACACACATATCACGTAGTCATTACCAATCGAACACATACACACATATCACATAGTTACTACCGGTCCAAGCAAACACATACACACATATCACGTAGTTATTACCAGTCCATGCAAACACATACACACATATCACGTAGTCATTACCAGTCGAAGAAAACATATACACACATATCACGTAGTCATTACCAGTCCACGCAAACACATACACACATATCACGTAGTCATTACCAGTCCACGCAAACACATACACACATATCACGTAGTCAATACCAGTCCACGCAAACACATACACACGTATCACGTAGTCACTACGAGTCCATGGAAACACATACACACATATCACGTAGTCAATAACCCACACCGCCACCCCAACCCTACCTTTTCCACCCGAGCTTCGGGAAGTGCTGGCGGGGTCTGACTTCATTGGCTTGTCCCCTTTCTTCAGTGCACCGGCTGAGCTGTTCTGTTGAGGTGTGGCGGGGGTTGTCTTTTTCCTCTGCGGCATCCACGAGTCGTCCGTCTGAGGTGTTCGAGTGACAAGCAATGGCGAGGCACTGACAGGTGAACAGACAGCGTCATGTACTTGCTCGCGGTGATCCAACTGTAATAGCAGCTGTTATATTACATCAGTATGCGCAGATTCAACTGTAGTAGCACTGTTATATCACACCAACATGCGGAGATTCAACTGTATTAGCAGCTGTTATATCACACCAACATGCGGAGATTCAACTTTAATAGCAGCTGTTATATCACACCAACATGCGGAGATTCAACTGTAGTAGCAGCTGTTATATCACACCAACATGCGGGGTTTCGCTAGTCCAGTACTCTCCCCACGGACTCAATAGCCGAGGCCCAATTCAGCGTGAAAGCACATGTGTCAGATGTGAAATACGGCAGCGTGATCGAGAGTACATACCTTGACTTTCTTCACCGCTGGTTTGGCCGGAGAGGGTGCGGCTGGGGATTCGACCGTATCTTCGCCTTCTTTAACAGTATGCTTCTCCAAAAGAGCATAGAAGCCATCCTCATCCAGGACCTGAAGTATAAGTGCACATATGAGTATGCGTACGATGAGTGTCTATGCTATTTTCCAAGTGATACCTACAGAATAGATATAAAACTATCGCAACACAGATATACGCTAGGGCATTACGTAGGCAGGGGCAATACCACGGTAGACGGTACAATAGTTACTTGAGAGCGCACCCCGGCACCGAGGGCTGCGCTCGGGGAGAGATACAAGTTTAAATGAGTGATT